CTGCCCATATGTTAAAAAATCTGAAAGGCACTCTACCTTTCCATGTAGAAGATGTTAGTGTTAATAGCATAGGAGTATGGTCTGAAATTTGAAGCAATCCATAATTTGTTTCCACATGACCCTAGGACATCATCCACTCATAATTGTCAAAAACTCTGTTCAATCTACTACTGACTCTATCTGCTTCAGGTTGCTTATTAGACCATGTATAGTAGTCACCCTTCTAAGGTAGTTCTATCAATGTGGTATATTGTAGGTAGGCAGCAAAGTCTTGTAATTCTGAGTAGCTTACTGGGTTACAAGACATTCTATCATTAGGGTATAGTGCTGTATTAAAATCTCCAGCTATCATCCATGGTACTGTTATACTCAGCAATAGTTATTGTAAGTTATCCCAGAGGGCTCTTCTTTGTTCTAGGCCATTGTGGCCATAAATTACGGTGAGTAAGCAGTCAATATCATATCTTCTACTTTTTACATGACAAGTATCATTTGAGCATCATCTTTAATACCATTGATGATCAAGTTATTGGTATCCTATAGTATCCAGATCCTTCCATTCCTAACATCCTTGTATTTTTTCAGTATACTCTATCCAGGAGCAATAGCTTTTGAGATCCTTTGAGCATTCCCTTCCTTCACTTTAGTTTCTATAATTCCTACTAGCTTGATTTTATTTTCCCTAATATACTCTCTAACCTTCTTTTGTTTATACATTTTATTTACACCCTTTATATTCCAGATCAACCAATTCTCATTGTTGTAAGATATTTCCACCTCTATCCCCAGGTAGAATGTGCTCCTCATGTCTGCTTGTTGATACAACTCAAATCTGTTCTTCACTGGGATGGGAGTTAAATGTGGGAAGTTGATGAAGTTAAGTTCAGGACTTTGCACTGCTTTGCCTCTGTCATCCTGCTTCTCAGCTACAGGAATCATGTTGTGTTGGTCATTAGTCCCCTTAGGATCAGGTACCCTTGTTGTTCCTCTTTGATATGCAGTTTCCACTTTGTTGCCATCTTGTTGATGTTCCTCAGATGAAGTTACATTCTGAGGTCTAGTTGCATTATGTATAGGCCCATTTATTCTCCATTCTTGTGTGATAACCTCGTTACTCCTTGTTCTCTTGTCTGGTTAGGTTGCTGCATTACAGGTCGTGCCTGGTTGGTATATTTGTATCCTACAACCAAACATTTGTCACAATAAACAGGTTTCCAGTCATAGTTTACAGTTTGCAGAAACATCTTTCCATAAGGATCAATAACTATAATTTCAGTGGCCAATTTTTTTGTAACATTAACTTCAATAAGCATTCAAGAATAGGATACTTGAGTATGCTTAGTAGTATACTCATCAACAAAGACATGAGTTCCAATTACCCTTGCAATTCTGCTTAGAGAGCCCACTCCACAACACGACATAGGTAACTTAGGAAACTTTACCCACAATGGCATAACAGTAGGGAATTCTTCTGTGAATGAAAGTCAAAAGTACATGGTTTTAGGATGATGGGCTTATTAGCAATCGAGTAAGGACCATCACATAATATTTCTCGAGCATCTGTAATAGATTGGAATCTAATGATATAATAGCCTTCATCATGGTAGAACAATTCAGGTTCAGTGACATGTGACCAGTGCAAATTGATGTATTGCTTCATTACATTATACTATGGTTCATCACCTATGACATATGCAATCAACGCACATCTCTATTTGTTCTCTTCCTCTTCTACCTCTAATTTATCTAATTGAACCATAGGTTGGCCATCAACAATTGTGGTGGAAGATAGGATAGTGACATACTATTGGTGACAAATCTATTCTTCTGAAACAGAGTTGTCCATGGAGCTTTACTTCTAGTAGTCTCATTTGTTATCGCCACCTCTTCTACTACTGATTTCTCCTATGAACCTATGATACTTACTTGATTTTGATCTTGGTTTACCAGATTTACTGTTCCATTGACTGGTACTAGTGAAGATGTTGATAATTGACCAATTATCACTGGGGTATTTAGATCTAGCCTCTTAGAAATACTGGGATTTGACGACGTAGAACATGTGTACGCTTAACACTTTATTGCTTTGAATATAATAAAGCAACAACTATCTTACCTGATCCATACAACATACTTTAGATTTGACATACATTTTTAAACAATTAAGACAAAAATATCAAAGTACAATAATGATACTAAAATAGACAAGAAAATCATAATTTGGTATGTGGGATGAAAAATATGTAGTTAAGTAAGGACATTCGAAATAGTTGACAAGAGCTTCAGTTATACAAGAACGTTGATGTAGTTTGGTGAAAATGTAATAATTTTTGGAGGTGAGTTCAAATAATCGCCAATATTGTATTGCACTTGCGGCTACATGTTTTCTCACTCAAACAACTTTATGTCATATTTTCAAAAGGCATATCAATGAAATGAAAAGAATTAAGTTCTAGACATAACAGAACAAACTAAAGCGACAGAAGGGAACGTCTAACTAACTTAATTAAGTTAATTATTTTTGTAGGTTCATTCTCCAATTATTTTAAATTTTAAGTATTATTTTGACTAATTAAGTTAATATTACGTGCGACGCACGTACGTAAAAGTTAGTATATTAAAGTATATGTATAATGAGTAATAAAAAATATAAAATGGAAAAATTACAAACTCTTTTTGATGAATAATTAGCCTATTTGAATAAAAGATGATAATTTAAAGGTATTCAATAAAGTCCTGAAAATTTTTCATGTAAGCTGAACATGCTTGTGACTTTTTACATGATTTGTTTGCATTAATATCATTTTTACTATTAAAACTCTTCGAAGAACTAACAAAAAGAAAAAAAAAAATACAATTTGTAAGTAAATATAGTGGGTGACTTCAAGTTAGAATAGACTTCAAACTTTAAATATCACCATTTATCTGTTGTAGTTACTAGTTCTAACATGGATGAACTTTAATTTGAATATCACCATTTATCTGTTGTAGTTACTAGTTCTAACATGGATGAACTTTAATTTGAATATCACCATTTATCTATCATAATTACCAGTTCTAACATGGATGATGATATATCTTAGGAAAAAAATATTTGTGCGGTTCCATGAATACTCGTCGGAAGTAACAAAAAAAATTAATATGAAATATAAAACGACCAGTACTGTATAACCACATAGAAAGAGATCTTGAAGGGATAGTGACTCGGAGAAGAATTTGAATTTTTTTTATATAAAAAAGATAAAGTGACACTTAAAAAAAAATGAGAAGACCGAAGAGGAAACTGCAAAGAATCCGCTTGTTGTTAATATACATATATTCTTCTACTTAGGCTGTTCATTCGGATCGGATATCCGAAATCCGAACCGATCCATTCAATTTCGGATTTTGAATTTCGGATTGGATCGGATTTCGGATTGTATTTACTAAAATTTCGGATTTCGGATCGGATTCGGATTGGTATATTTTAATCCGATCCGATCCGAAATCCGAAATTATTAGGCAATGTATAAATACTACACTTTAATTTCGGATAGTTTACTTCCTTTACATCTTCCTCCAAGTTATTACCTTTACAATTGCTAGATTTAACTATATTGGCACCATACTACTCTCATAATTGCACAAACATGAATTTTTCTTAATGTATTACCTCTTTTACAGAGAAAATATACATATTAGTTTGCAACTTTGAGGCATAATAATACGATCCGAAATCCGATCCGATCCAAACTTTAAAATCCGATCCAATCCGATATAATTCGGATTGGATTTTCTAGAATCCGAAATTCGAAATTCGAATCCGAAATGTGCTAAATCCGATCCGATCCGATCCGTGCACAACCCTACTTCTACTTCTTGTTCTCTATTAGAAAGTTTTTGATAGAATACGAGTTGTTTGGTAAAGAGAAAAACCACTAAAAATATTATTTTCGAAGAGAAAGCCATCTTTCTTTGATGCATTTTATTTTAATTTACTATATATAAATTTTTAGACACATTATTTTGCACTTTTATAGAATACTTTAAAGAATGTGAAAAGTTGTGCAAGAACATTGTTATTGCTTCAGTAGAAGATGAAAGATACAAACAATTAGTAATAAGTAAGAAAATTTATAATGCTGTAAAGAATGTAAGAACGTATAGAAATGCTATTAATACGGAGGATGAAAGAAACAAAACGTCAGTGTATAATTATATTTACGCACACAATAACATTATCGGAGTAATATTTGATTGAAGGAAAAATGGCCATCCATCTTTTAATGGGTATTTTGGTCTTTTAACTTTCCCTTGAGGTCTTCATACTTGTAATATAGTATGATGATATGATATGATATGATAAATAATTTGGAATAATTGTCATAAGAAATCAAAATAAGAAAGGACGTGTATTAGGGGGTAAAATCACATGTTTAAATTTTCTGAAGGTTAATAGTCTGTTTGGCCAAATTTCTTTTGAGGCAAAAGCACTTTTTTTTTTAGTCAAAAGTGTTTTTTTTCTAAAATTAAGGTGTTTGGCCAAGCTTTTGAAAGGAAAAAAGTGCTTTTGAGGAGAAGCAGAAACAACAAAAAATAGCTTCTCTCCAAAAGTACTTTTTTGAAAAGTATTTTGAGAAAATACACTTAGAAGCAATTTTTTAAAACTTGACGAAACACCAATTGCTGCTCAGAAGTACTTTTCAAATTATTTAGCCAAACACAAGCTGCTTCTTACCAAAATTACTTTTGAGAAAAACACTTTGAGAAAAAACACATTCAAAATAAGCTGATTTTTACAGTTTGGCTAAACGGGCTATAAATATGCTTTTATCAAATTACTCAAGGACAAAAAAATTGGATTAAAGCTATACCTCACGTGTTAAATTTGTTGTTTGCCTTTTCCAAATATTTTATGAAGCACTTTCACCAAACATAACCTAAATTTTCATTTTGGTCATTAACCTAAGTTTTCTTTCTATTCGGGATTGTGTACTATTTCCTTTCTATTGTCCCTCGAACTGATTTTTTTTCCTTTTTGTTTTGTTCTTCTGTAATAGTTACTTATAAAATACTAGTACAGTAATAAATAAACAAAACATTATTTTTCTCTTTCTATCCCAATCTCATTGTAGAAATTCTCGTCAGAAACAAGGTTCGTCCTTTTGTGTTAGTAAACAAGAATAGATTTTGATTGTACCCTCGCTAATCTTATTATTAAAAAAAATCAATTCTTTGGCAAGCTTCATTTTGCAAAAAGATTGGATCTTTGTCAAGCTTCTTCTGCAAAAAAGATCAGATTTTTGGCAAGCTTCATTTTGCAAAAAGATCGGATCTTTGACCTGCAAAAAGATTAGATCTTTGGGGTTTTGGCTTGATTAGCATATCAGGTGCTTTAATTGATTCTTTTACTGTAAGATCCGTTTCAGAAAAGTGGAAACAAATTGAGGTTGGGTTCTGATTTGATTAATTTTGTTGGACGTGGGTAGGTTTACATAGAGGAACATTGGGATAATTTGGAATTACATGTAATTTTCACTTTGATTGCTGAATTTAATAACATGAGCTTATTTCAAGTTGAGATAATTTGGGAAATGTTATTTTTCTCTACAATGTAAGCCAGCATGTTCTTATTTCTTTCTTTCTTTCTTTTCTTCATTGATTTTTTTTTTTGTTCGACGAAGCTAAACCCCATAATGTATTGTTGCTTGCAGAGAAAATGAAATGTGAGCTTCAATTTGCTTGGATTGCATATGTTGGAGGATTAATCTAAATGCTATTAAGATGTAAGAAAACTACCATAGTGGGTTGGCCATGCTGCTTCATGGATAAAAGATTTATAAGGTTCATTATTGGTAATAGAAGATTTCTGAAGATGATGTTCTGAACCAATATCTTCTCTAAGCAGGTATACTCTAGATACTTGTTGTTTAGTCATCTCAAGTTGGATGTAAAACTGTTTTAACTTGCTACCGCTTTGTTTGGTAAATCTGATAAGCTTGTGCATTTGTTTAATTTGACAAACACAGTGAGACTTCTAATGAAATAACATTCGCATTAAACTTTTTTACCATCATCCTTTACTTTAATGCGTGCCCAATGGAGATGATTTTTCAGAGTAGTCACCGGTCTATCCCCCACTGCAATCCCCTATTTCTTTGAATACCTTTTGAGACCAAACATTCATAGGTAGTCCCAGCAACCTTACCCCAACTCAGTTTCTTTCAACTTCATCTGGCCAGCAATCACTGGTAGGGCTCCCCCATTCAAGCTTCCACTTCGTTTTCCTCCAACTCCATTCGCCAGACAAGACATGTTCAACTATCTTCCTTGATGGAAGTTCAAACAGAAATTGATGATCTTTCATCTCAAACACATTGACCCCACATGCTTATTTCCATGAGTTGCAGGCCCATCGCCGGACATCGTTCAAAGTGGAGTTTCCTGAAAAGAAGCCTGAAATTTTCCGGCAAGGCATCTACCCCATAGATCTTTGTCTGACACAGTTGTACTTGTGATCGGCGAAACATTAATGCTGATAGTAATTTGTCTCATTAAATTCCTGCTATGTTCAACCCAATCAAACCATTTCTCCACCCCCGAGCATCTACTTGTGATGTCATTTGATTTAAAACCTGCATTAATAAACTCTATCTTCTTCTATGTTCTAAATAAACATTACTTTGTTGAAAATAACTGAAGACTGGAATAAATTCTGTTCTAAATTATCGGATTTTCCCCCTAAAAAAGTGGTTGAGGAAAAGGAAGGCTAGAAAAAGTTAGGCTCGGGAAAGGTGCCCGAGAGCATACTTCTGGGACTATTCAAATAATTACTTAATTTTTTCTCTGAACCAAAGCACAGTATCATCAAACTAAACCATCAACAAAGTATCTGTATATCATACTCAGGAATTCATATCCATCGAACTGCAAGCAACTAAAGTGCAATTAAAGCCAGTCAATAAGACCTGCACAAGCAGGAACTCTAAAGGTATGCTCAGCCTAAAGTGCTGAAAACCAGACTCCCACAAAATTATGCATAGTTAAGATTAACTACATAAAGGAATAGAGCAAACTACTAGTTATGCACCAGTCTACTGAAAACTCCTAGATAACTAATGCTAAAGACGGCAATTTCTTTCTCTTTTTCATTTGCTAGTAACTAACCCAAGTTTCTTACTCTGTGATATTCCTCTGCCTCCATTTACTCTTGTGCTTTAATGCCTTGGCCTCTTGTGCTACTGTTCTTCCTCCTCGTCCCCATCGTCCTCCTCTTCCTCGACCTCGTCCTCTTCCTCTTCAAAGTCCCCTTCCCCTTCCCCTTCCTCGTCGTCTTCGTCTTCCAAGTCCCATTCTCCTTCGTCGTCGTCTTTCGAGTCCCATTCTCCTTTCCCTTCCTCTTCCCCGTCCCATATCATCGCCTCTCTTTCTTCCTCTCTCCTGACCTACCTCTGATCCCAATTTGTAAATGTTTCCCCTCCCTGAAAACAAAATTTTTGAGAGGTATATATATATGTGTGTGTGTGTATCCAAAAACCAAACCAAATATCATTTTTCTTATAACCATGGTGACCGGACCAGCTTACTCGCACCTCGATTAATTCCACGGGGTACCTACTACCTCCCGCAAGTATAGGTATCGAGTAACAATCAAACCAAATACCTAATCAATCTATACTTCTTAGGGGTGGTAATATTCCAATTCAAAATAATTCAGGGGTAATAGTCTTGAGCTTACTTGAGTTTTTCACGTGACGTGTCATGACGATCGAGCATATACATTGTTGATTGTAGACCTGCCACACACTGCAACGTTCAGTGTTAGTATTGTGTTTGAGAGTCCGAAACCAAAATGTGGTTCTTTTGGACTCAAAACACGTTTTTGAGTGTAAAAAAAGTTATATTTCTATATAAAACGCGGTTATGAACCGTGTTTTATCTTAACGGCTGTTTGGGACGTTAAGGTTAAACGCGGTAACAAACCGTGATTTACCTGGCAGCTGATAAGACAAGTATATAAAGTGTGGTTCATTACTGCGTTTTATATAAAATGCGGTAGTGAATCGCGTTTAATATACATAAATAATAGATCCCCTTCCCTTTCCCCCACGTTTCTGCCCACTACCCCCTTCGTTTTTAAAAAAAATAGCGCCCCCTCCATTAACGTCCCAAAAAGCTCGTGTGGACCCCCAACCATCCAGTAGATATTGTTGGTCCCACATCATAGCCAAGCCTTCTATTGTTGTGAGTTACTTGTTTCGGAGTCAAAGTTCCAAATCTTCAACTTTCCGAAAAAACATAAATCGAGGTATTCCGATTTAGTTTATGTCCAAACTCGTATAAATAATGCATATTAGTTGTTTTGAATGTGTTGTATGTTGTTTTGTGTTTTTTTTTTTGCGATTAAATTGGTATGTTATATTTATCCGGACTAAGATATTAATATTGCAAAAAAATATGTAAAAATTGTGAAATCGTTATTATTTGTTAATAAAATGTTAATAAATTATTATTATTGCTTTATATGTATTTTTGTGAATGTTTTGTGATTACAATGTATTTGTTGTGTTTTATCTGGTTTAAATTATTTATTTGCTTAAAGACTAGTAATATAGTGCATGTAGGTGGGTTATGCGTCGTACTCTTGCACGAGAGTATGATGCCCATCATAATCTCCCCCTCTGCAGGGATGTGTTGGATCTGCTGGAAAACGCACAGGTGAATATCTAACTAAACTTACCTGTTATAGATTAACTTAGTAATGCGCATACTAACGGTTTGTGTTCTTATTTGATAGTTCATCTGGACGTCGTACACCGATGAGGTGATAGGTACCCTGCCAGCGTATTGCACGTTTGGCCGATATATTTGGAGGGCTTCTGTCCCGATCATATCCCTCGATATTGTCGAGCATCATGCCTCCGAGCGGGTATTTCGTCAGTTTGGCCTTCCGCAGCTTATACCGACTCCGCCTGCATGGCATGCTTTACATTATGAGAGGGATGATTGGTCCAGGGCAGACGACACATTTATGGCATGGCTTAACGAGCAGTTGGGTACCTGGGACAGGCGAGGGGACTTGACCCCACCTCCGCAGCACTTTTCTATTCCACGTTATATGGCATGGTACCGCACTGTTTCCCGACTTTTTATCAGGAATCCAGTTCATCAGGCACACGGTCGGTACGCCCCATACGCCGGGAGACACGAGGCCATGGTATGTTTTCTATTATTATTAGTTATATAGCTATAATTTAGTGCCAAATATGTAGTTTATATTATTTACTTTGTGCAGGCGATTGGATTGCATACCGTCTATCATATGGGGTAGCAGATGCAGAGTTATGTCCACGATCCTGTGGCCATGCAGGAGTATAGTCGTCGATTCATGGATGTGGCTGCGCAGACACTGCAGTGAGCCCGATCGGATCAGCGTTTGGCACACGAGGCTGATTATATGGACCCAACCACGTACCAGCGAGGCTGTAGTATCCCACGAGCTGGTGATGCCCGACGAGCTGGTGGTGCCGGACGACGTGGTCATGGGCGGAGAGGAGGTGGTCCCCAGCAAGAGGGCGTTGAGGCTCCTGCTGATGATGTTGCTGCTGATATGGCAGGTGGCATGCATGAGACGGACATGCCGTCTTACAGCCTTGGAATTTATCGCTCTCTAGTGCCATCGCAGGTGACCCTATCGAGTCAGTTATTGATCACAGGCTCGGATATTCAAGGGGTGGATTGGGGTAGATACTTCCCAGGCCCGTCTACCACTGTTGAGGATCGACCGACCCGAGATTTTTATAGTGGGCGCCGACTGAGTTATGGCTCCACATCACATGCGCAGGTACGAGTTTATTAGTATTGAATTTGAATTTGTTTTATTTGTAACTTATTTATTTTCTTTAACTTTATTAATTTTCTTTTTAAGGCTTCATGCGATGCAGCGAGAGATGACTACATTCAGGATCTAGAGACGATGATGGTAAGACAATATAAATTGTTGTGAATTGTTATGTAGTTTTCTATACTAAGTTTCATATTATTATGTAGCCTTCTACTAGAGCTGACAGCACCACCGATACATGTCATCCTGCGCCGCATCCAGCTATAAGGAGACGACTTGATGATGATGATCCTGATAGCGTACCCGGGCGGGAGGGGATGCGCCTCAGGCCAGCGGTTGCATTGAGACACACCGAATGCGGGACACATTGACGTGGTATAAATAATATTTTTGTATACATTAACAATATTATTTAATCGAATATGCGCATTAC